ACAAGCAGTAACTGAGTCCACTCACTGCATTTCTGAAATCCACACCCATGATCATCTGTATGTTAAATAAATCAGAGCCATCATGAGAGCATGGCATCATGGGAAACACAGGTGCCTGAGTTCGATTCATAAAAAGATAAAATTTGTTATCATAACAAAGGGATAACTCCCAGAAGACAAAGAAGATGAATAAAAGAATTGATCTAAGGATAGTACACTGTGTGTTATACAAGAAATCCTGTTTATTTCTTATCTCTAATTTTCTCTGCCTGTTATCTTCATTATTTTACATATCTCTGCTTTCAAATTCACATAGTACAAAATGGTCCCTGCCAAGATGTTCTCAGTTCATCTCTCCTTTGCCCTAGGGATTTTATAGATTTAAATGGGATCCACCTGTCTTGATTTCAGATTCCTATGGGGAGGGCTTCTTTTCCTAGACCAGTCGGATGCTCACTATGCACCAATAACGAGCTGCCAGGGGATGAATTCACATTATGTACATGAACATAGTTACTCCTGCTGTGAGCTTATAGAGGGGATGAGGGAGTGATGCAGGTGATATGCAAAGGATCTGCTGGTCTGCACATCAGACTCAATATTCTGTACTACAAGGAGACTGGAGATAAGCCCAGTCTTCCTGCTTCATTCTTTGACAATACATTTTATTCCAAATAAGAACAAGTGCAAAAATCTGTGGTAGTAGATTTACTGCACTATTCTTATGTCTGATACTAATAACCCAAAGAAAAATATAATAAAATATTTCTGCTTTTGAAATGAGCCTGCCATGGCTTGCGTAGATATTTACTACTGGTAAGCCTTTGTTTCTCTATCCTCTGACTCAGCTTTCTTCATTTTTATTTTCATAGCAAGAATCACCACCTAATACTGCATATCTGTTTATTATGTGATTATTTTTTCTTTCCTGCTAGATACAGCCCATAAAGGTAGGGACATTTTTACCTTGTTGACTATTTTATATGAAGTAGTACACAGCACTTCGTAGGAGCTAAATAATTATCTGACAAATGAATGGATACATTAATTAACGAATTTGATGCCCAAATCTAGGCTGCTTTTGTTTACATAAACCCCTGTTTTCCACTAGTCACATGTTCTGCCTGCTACATGTAGAGAACCATTGTTCAGGATTTCAGTTCTGTTCTAAATACTTGGATCATTTTGCAAACAGGGATCTTCAATTTCTCCACTTGGTGTTTTGTTCAACAAATGAAAGTGCCTTTGAATATTCTCACACTTGATCTTCCAGAAACCACATCAGCTTTTAGAACAATGTTTTTAGACAATTCATTAGTAATCCTTAAAAGGTATGCTCCCAAATTTTTATAAATGTGTAATTTTATTTAAACTAAAATAATGTTACGCTATGTCAAATATTGTAGAAAAAGTTGGTCATCTTTGCATATGCTATTTGAGTTTTGTGAATTGCCCATTCACCTATTTTCCATATTGCTATTAGATTATTTAACTCTTCTTTATTGATTTAAGTAGTACTTTATTTCTTCCTTTGTATAATATATGTATTGAAAATATCTAAATATATTTCATAACTCTGTTGTCTAACTTTAGTAATACATATTAACAAATATCTACCTGTTATATCCATTTTAAGAAATACATAAAATGTTATAACTTGTACTTTTTTTTATCCTTCTTTGCTTTTCTAAAGAGTATTTATGTATTTCAACATTTTTACAGTTTAAATATAATTTTTTTTTGTTTTTATTATTTTAATCCTACTTGGTGTTCTTGGAGATCTGTAATCTGTGATTTTTTGTCTGTCTTTAATTTTGGCAAATTCTCAGCTGGCTTCTCCAGCACTAGACTCTTGCAGCTTTCTCAGCACCCAGCTTTTGCAATGTAGGGCAGCCAGCAACACCCAGCACCCGGCAACTTCCTCAGGCATGCACACCCACTTTAGCAGTTTTACTGCAGAGAGCCTCTGGTGAGGCCACCACCACCCCACTTCCATGAACTCTATAGGAACAGCTTTCCCCAATGCTGTAGGGGAAGGATTTCTGACAAGTCCCAGAGGGTGGATTCCAGCAAACTCCTGCCGGAGCAGCAGCACAACAGTAACCACTCTGCCATTCAGTGGGCCATGCATGTGCCTCCCTAACAAGGTCTGACCTCACCCTTGGAAAGAAAACTGGAGAAGGCTCCTTCTTGGATGCTCTATCTTAACCTAGGTGATGGCTTAATATTGAGTGTCAACTTGATTGGATTGACTGATGCAAGGTATTGTTCCTGGGTGTGTCTGTGAGGGTGTTGCCAAGGGAGATTAACATTTGGGTCAGTGGACTGGGAGAGGCAGACCCACCCTCAATCTGGCTGGGCACCATCTAATCAGCTGCCAGCATGGCCAGGATAAAAGCAGGCAGAGGACCGTGGAAGGGCTGACTTCCTTTATCTGTCTTCTGGCCTTCATCTTTCTCCCTTCCACCAGTGGTTTTCCAGGGACTCTTGGACCTTCGAGCACAGACTGAAGGCTGCACTGTTGGCTGGCCTACTTTAGAGGATTTGGGACTCTGACTGGCTTCCCTGCTTCTCAGATTGCAGACAGTCTGTTGTGGGACTTCACCTTGTCATCATGTGAGTCAATAAGCCTTAATAAACTCCCTTTTATATATACATCTATCCTATTAGTTCTGTCCCTCTACAGAACCCTGACTAATACACTAGGGAAGTAGCTATTACATATTATGCTATGCACTATTATATCTGCAACTGCTACATTCTTTAGTGTTCTCTTTATTTCTGTCTAGCCAGTCTCTCATTACTCAAATCCCTTGTTACGGCTCATATTTCTTCATATTGATCTTTCTCATTTCACATTACTGTGTGATTTCCTCTTTCTCCTGACTAGACCCAGACTTATAAACCCACAAAATTTCATTCAGGCATGAATCTAGAATAAAAATGATTCTCAGAAATGCAAAGATTGGGAAAATGTGCTTCCAGTGTATCCTTTTTTAGATATTAACAGAAGGTGTGGTTCAGCAAAATTAGGTAGTCAAAGCAAGTAAGAGGAAAATATCAGATACCTGAAACAGTATCTTCTATCAAAAAAACCCCAAAAACCAAAAAACAATGAAGAGAATCCCAAGATAACATCTGTTCAGCAATCCTGGAAATCATTTTTTTTTTTTAGATTGAAACTAGAGAATTAAGGGCACCAGGAAGTGGATAAACAGGATAAGTAAGATCCCATACATTTTATAGTATTGTTGAAATATTCAAAATATCTGAGGATGTGATAAAAAGTAGACTCTATATATATATGAGAAAAAAGAAACCACAAATGGAACCTTCATGAAAATGAAAAGATGTCCAACAAAGGAAATATATTCTCAATAGTGAGCATTGGTGGGAGTGTAAATTAGTTCAACCATTGTGGAAGACAGTGTGGTGATTCCTCAAGTACCTAGAACTAGAAATACCATTTGACCCAGCAATCCCATTGCTGGGTATGTACCCAAAGGATTATAAATCATTCTACTATAAAGACACATGCACATGTATGTTTATTGCAGCACTGTTCAAAATAGCAAAGACTTGGAACCAACCCAAATGCCCATCAATGATAGGCTGGATAAAGAAGGTGTGGCATATATACTCAATGGGATACTATGCAGCCATAAAAAAGGATAAGTTCATGTCTTTTGCAGGGGCACGGATGAAGCTGGAAACCATCATTCTCAGCAAACTAACACAAGAACAGAAAACCAAACACCACGTGTTCTCACTCATAAGTGGGAATTGAACAATGAGAACACATGGGCACAGGGAGGGGAACATTGCACACCGGGGCCTGTCGGGGTTGGAGGACTAGGGGAGGGATAGCATTAGGACAAATACCTTATGTAGATGACGGGTTGATATGTACAGCAAACCACCATGGCACGTGTATACCTACGTAACAAACCTGCACGTTCTGCACATGTACCCCAGAATTTGAAGTATAATAAAAATAAATAAATAAAATAAAAATAGTGAGCATATATGTGTTTAAGAAATACATGGTTACAAACAAATCATAAATGCTGTTGGCTTTGAAAATATTAAAGATAAATTATAAATGCTAGAAGTTGGGATATGAAACAAAGAAAAAAGTAGAACAGGAAATAAAAGGGTTAGCAGTATCTTCATCTACAAGGAGAAAACTCAAGCGATTTCGAATATAACTGATAGAATAATAGAGTACTATGTTTCAAAATACAGGGAAGCCGGGCACGAGAGCTCACACCTGTAATCCCAGCACTTTGGGAGGCTGAGGAGGGTGGATCACAAGCCCAGGAGTTCAAGACCAGCCTGTCCAAAATGGTGAAACCCCATCTCTACTAAAAATACAAAAATTAGCCGGGTGTGGTGGCATGCGCCTTTTATCCCACGTACTTGGGAGGCTGAGGTAGAGAATTGCTTAAACCCAGGAGGCAGAGGTTACAGTGAACCAAGATCGTGCTACTGCACTCTAGCCTGGGAAACAGAGCAAGACTCCGTCTCAAAAAAAAAAAAAAAAAAAAAAAGGTGGGGGGATTACCTACAGAGGAACTAAACATAGTAAGATAATAAAATCCCAAGAAGCATGTCAGAGACATACAATTGTTGGTGGTCTAAATTATTTGCTTTCATAATAGGAAGTCAATGGATTCTGACTTAATACCCCCACATAAAGATACACATATTACTGTTAAAAGCCATTGAGCTGGGGATAATGTCAGTGGAGGAAAGGAATGGCGTGAAGGGCTCTTGTTTTCATTAAAATACATCTCTATTGTTTGCTCTTCAAACTATATACTGGTATCCTGATAAATTTAAAGTTGTAATTGTAAAATAAAATATTATTTTTATTGAAATATCAAGAATGCTGCAGATGGTGGCAGAACACTCAATGTGAAAAAAGATAGTGGCCTGCACTGGAATGACAGCAGCGAAGTTTGTTTCAAGCATGTGATGTTATAGTGGCAATCTCTTACCTGCGAGAGTATGTAGAATACTGAGCTCCTCAGTTCTCAAACAAAAGCAGACTTTAACTCCTGCTCCAGTGGTGCTTCTCTGCTTCTCAAACATCCAAAACTGCACTTCAGATTGCATCACATCCTGAACACATGGAAGGATGAGTTCAGGAAATAAGAGTGCCTGAGTTACCCCCCTCAGGGAATACTGGCCTCTCAAGTCCAGACCTGCCAAGGCAAGGAGAGGAGAGAAAGCAATAACTCCCTTGCATTCCTAAAGTGCAATGTCCCCACCTACTGGTGAGCATGACCCAGTTAACATCCCTACGTTAACAATGTCCTAAAATAAGAACCTTGAACTTCTTCCAGTAGTAGAATCTGTGTCCTTTAGCACACACAGTTCTACACCAAAACATAAACAAAATAGAAATTCAAAAATTTTTACAATGCGATGAAGGTCTTGGAAGGTGTGAGAATGAAAATTTTAAAACATGCCACACAAGGCTAGTGTTAAAATAACACCATCGTTAGCAGTCCCTCTCCCTGGTGTCTGTCTACTCTCACAGCTTCTGCTCAGGCTGTCTTCTCTCCATTGTCTCTTCCTCCCAGTACAAATCTCTCCTCCCTTACACTGCCTTTCCTGCCAACACCCTGCTTCCCCATGTGTTAACATTGGCAGCCTTTTTTCCCTTCCCATTGTTTTCTGGCTTCTGATATTTCAGATAAGAAATCTGATTCTGGTCTGGTTCTTGCCCTTTTATGTGTAAACTTTATTTCCCTCTTGGAAGCCATTAGATCATTTTTATTACTATTTTATTTTCTGATTTTGTAGTAAAACTGTTCATCCCTACAGCTACATAACTATTTGTATATTTTCATAATTCCACTTGTTTCCTTTAAATTGTATGAATCTTATCTAGCCAGAGACTAAAGTCTTCCTTTCCCTCAGGAAAAAAAAAAAAGTCTTTTTTATTGTATTTTATATTCTTTCTAGTCTATTTTTTCTGGAACACCTATTATACAGCAGTTGGAAATTGCTGTATAGAACTTTCTCAACATATTTTCACAATTTTATGTGTTCCAAGATAGCTAAAATATTTCCCACCCTCTTATTATTTTTTTTCACAACTCAGAACCACTACTTGAACACTCTCTTTCTCATCTGCCTTAAAGAGTGTTTCCTCATTATGCTCAAGAATGAGAATGCTCAAGAATGAGAGCAATTTAAAATGAGATCATTTTAACCTGTCTCCTCAGAGACAGGTTCTGTTGGCTTCTTCTTTTCCTATCTATTATGTATTGGTAAAATTTTCCAGTTTCTTTGCATGTCTTATAATTTTTGTTTAATATTGATATTTTAGATAATGTAATGTATTAACCAAATTCTGATTCCCCAGTCCCTAGGAGTAAACGCTCTTGCTGTTTGCTGTGTGTATTAGTGACTGGCTTGTGCTAGTTCTTTGACATGTTTCCCCTTAGTATGCAGCATACAGTGTCTCTGTTAAGTTTGTTTGATAATTTTTCTTTTCATTATTAAGCCTGACTTCCTAAGGTCACCCCTGGTCATCATAGCTTAATGTCAGCCTATGATTGATGAAATGTTTTGCTAAGGCTTCCACACTTTGCTATTGAATTGAGTGTGACTTGGGAAATGCTTTCAAAGTTCCAGGACTTTACAGGTATGTCCCAGTTTTTACTTTCTGCCTTCACATGGCCTTGTATTCAGGCAGGTCTTTACTGAGCAAGCTTAACCAAGCTCATACAGACAGCTTTCCACACCACTGGGGATAAATGAGATGTTAGCAAGGCTATTTTTGACTATCTCATTCTCTGGGTCTCACTGTTAAAATTCCTGACTGGCCTGCCATCATGACTTCAAGCTAGTTGTGATGTTAACCTTCCTTAATTATTTGCCCTGAGATCTATGCTGTCTTCTACAAAACCCCAAGACAGTATTTTGACGGAGTGTGTGTGTGTGTGTGTGTGTGTGTGTGTGTGTGCATGTGTGCACACGCTCTTTTCTAAACAATGTGTGCTCCCTCTGGCAGGGTAGAAGAGCTGTCTAATTCCACGGCCTGTCCTGCTCACACATGTAGAAATTCTGCACCGTAAGTTGGGGTGGAGGGGGTTGGTGAAGGCAGACTCTGGACAAAATAATACTGATTTTGCCATTTTAATTGGGCTCCAGTATAGATTCTCTTAACTAAATGCTTCTCAATGTTCATGTCCTTTGATCAATTTCCAGAGTCTTTAAATGACTGTTTTTTTGGCAACTTTGTCCAATGTTATCATTGCTTTTTAGAGTCATGGAAATGTTTTAATGTCAATATATATGGTATATTTTTATATATTTTCTATGTGAACTTGGAAAGAATCTGTATACAACATTTGGTACCCACACACTTAGGATTACATGTCTTTTTGATGTATTGACTCTTTTTCATTGTGAAAAGCTTATCTCTAGTACTATTCCTTATTTGTAAAGTTTTCTTTGTCTGATAGTAATGTAGCCACTCCAGCCCTCTTACTAGTATATACCCAGTGTATATTTTTTCATCCTTATATTTTTAATCAGTGTCTTCATACTTAAAATGCATTTCTTATGGACAGCATATGGTCAAAGTCTTGCTTATTTATCCAGTTTAGAGCTATGCATTTAATGAGATTACTGAAGTACTGAATTTAAGCCTACCACCTTGCTGCTTTTAGTTTTTGCCCCCTCTGTTGTTTTTCTTTTATTCCTCTTTACTTGCCTTTCTTAGTACATTTTTCTCTCTCCTAATGGTAAGTGAGTAGAGGTATGTCAGAACTTAGGTCTTTAAGATTTGTGGAACTTTTAAAAATTTCTTATTCTATTTTATTTCAGACAGAGTCTTGCTCTGTCACCCAAACTGGAGTGCAGTGGCGCACCATTTGTAGAGTTTGAGTGGAACATCTTAAATAAGAATATAGAGGAAAGCCCAAATTTCTGCATGTTAAAGAAATTTGCATGGAGAATACAGCCTTCTCTTTGAGTTTTCATCTTTTGGGGGGACTTTTCTCCTCAATAGCAACTACTTCTTTCAGCACCAAACTCCAGCCTTGGTCTTCTTTTCCTGGTAAGACTGCATCTTTTTGCTTGAGCTTTATTCCACCAACTACTACTTTAGACTGAAAAGCACCATCAGGGAAAACTCACAGCAAATGTTGAACTCACCTAGTTTACTTGCCTTTTCTCAATATTTATCTCCTCATGTATTCTGTCTGCTTCAAAAGATCTCCAATGATTGCAAATTTTTAAATCCTTTTATAGATTTCATAATTTTTGTTACTAGGAAGGCTAAATGTAGACATATGGTTTTTAATATAATTAAGTAGCTATAGAATCAAATGTATAGATGTTTACGTGTATGTCCACAAATAAGACCTTAGATTTTTAACAGTCCCATAGCAATGAGCCCACCTAACACACAGATCTTGATCTAGCTTTTTAACCAGACTCTTCTAAAAGGTGCCAGAGCTGTGAAAGATTCTAGAGCTTGAGAAAAAAAGAAAAAGATGATCATAGAAAGTAAGAATATTTAAGAATGGTGGATACCTGTCAGCTGTCAGAGATTAAGAATGTGTTCAAAGAATTGTAGATACATGCTCTTTTACATATATAAGCAAAAAATAACTGGAAGAAAGAATGCATACCACAAATACCTAAATCACAATATATTCAGTATGATCATATTAATAACAAACAAAATGATCTTCATTAAAAATTTGTTTTACCTGGGGAGGATCCAAGATGGCTAAAAAGGAACAGCTCTGGAGTGCAGTTCCCAGTGAGAACAACATAGAGGGTGAGTGATCACTGCATTTCCAAAGGAGTTATTACTGCCCAGAGACCAGGAGATTCCCAGGCTGAAAATTGCCACGAGTTTCCAGCACGGCTGTTTCAGCCGACGCAGTGGGTCTCCGCAAAAAAACTCACACAAATTTGGGCAGCCATTTCAACTGGAGCCTGGAACTCCTGGGAGACAAAGCCACCCATTCAACTGAAAAAAATGGGGCTGAAACAGGGAGCCAGGTAATCTGGTTTGGCAGGTCCCACCCCAACAAAGACCAGCAAACTGAAATGCTCTGAAATGAGAGTTTTGCAGCAAGCACAGCTGGACCTTGGATGGTCCAGCTCTGTTGGGGAAGGGCATCCACCATTACCGAGGCAGTCCGCCATTACTGAGGCAGGCCACCATTACCAAGGCAGTCTGCCATTACTGAGGCAGTTCTAACTATACCTTTGTAAACAAAACCACAAGCAAGTTCACACAGCAGCTGGGCAGAGCCCACGGCAGCTCAGCAATGCCTCTGCTAGCAGACTGTGACTAGGCTATCTCCTTGGTGAGCAGGGAAGCTCTGAAAAAAGGCAGCAGCATGTCAGGAACTTATAAATAAAGCCCCACCTTTCCAGGACAGAGTACCTGGGAAAAAAGGCAGTTGTTGATTTCCACTGCAGCAGACTTAAACGTATACCTGCCCAGCAGCTCTGAACAGAACAACAGAGCTCACAGCTCAGCACTTGAGCTCCTACAAGGGACAGACTGTCATCTTAAGCAGCTCCCCTACTCCTGTATATCCAAAAAGACACCTCATAAAGGAGAGCTCAGGCTGACAGGTGGATATCTGTGGGATGAAGAAAACAGAAGAAACCAGCAGCAACCTTTACTGTTCTGTAGCCACCACAGGTGATGCCAAGGCAAGCAGGGTCCAGAGTGGATATCCAGCAGTCCTGCAGCAGTGGGGCCTGACTGTTAGAAGGAAAACTAAAACACAGAAAGAAATAACTTCAATATCAACAAAACGGACATCCACTCAGAGAACCCATCCAAAAATCACCAACTACAAAGACCACAGGTAGATAAATCCATAAAGATGGGAAGAAACCAGCACAAAAGGATGAAAACACTCAAAACCAGAATGCCTCTCCTCTGCCAAGGGATCACAACTCCTCACCAGCAATGGAACAAAGCTTGATGGAGAATGAGTCTGATGAATTGACAGAAACAAGCCTCAGAAGGTGGGTAATAACAAACTTCTGAGCTAAAAGAACACGTTCTAACCCAATGCCAAGAAACTAAGAAACTTGAAAAACATTTGATGAAATGCTAATGAGATTAAACAGCTTAAAGAAGGATATAAATGACTTGATGGAGCTGAAAAACATAACATGAGAATGTTGTGAAGCATACACAAGTTTCAATAGCTGAATTGGCCAAGCAGAAGAAAGGATATCAGAGATTGAAGATCAACTCAATGAAATAAAATAAGAAGGCAAGATTAGAGAAAAAAGAGTGAAAAGAAATAAACAAGTCTCCAGGAAATATGGGACTATGTGAAAAGACCTAATCTATGTTTGACAGGTGTACCTGAATGTGGCAGAGAGAATGAATCCAAGCTGGAAAACACTCTTCAGGATATTATCCAGGAAAACTTCCCTAACCTAGCAAGGCAGGCCAATATTCAAGTCCAGGAAATACAGAGAACACCACAAAGATATTCCTCAAGAAAAGCAACCCAAAGGCACATAATCATCAGATTCACCAGCGTTGAAATGAAGGAAAAAATGCTAAGGGCAGCAAGAGAGAAAGGTCAGGTTACCCACAAAGGGAAACCCATGAGACTCACAGCAGATCTCTTGGCAGAAACCTTACAAGACAGAAGAGAATGGGGGCCAATATTCAACATCCTTAAAGAAAAGAACTTTCAACCTAAATTTCATATCCAGAGCTTCATAAGTGAAGGAGAAATAAAATCCTTTATGAACAAGCAATTGCTGAGAGATTTCATCACCACAAGCCTGCCTTACAAGAGCTCCTGAAAGAAGCACTAAACATAGAAAGGAACAACCAGTACCAGCCACTCCAAAAATGTACCAAATGGTAAAAAGCATTGACACAATGAAGAAACTGCATCAATTAATGGGCAAAACAACCAGCTAGCATCAAAATGCCAGGATCAAACTCACACATAACAATATTAACCCTAAATGTAAATGGACTAAATGCCCCAATCAAAAGAAGCAGACTGCTAAATTGGATAAATAGTCAAAACTCATTGGTGTGCTGTATCCTGGAAACCCATCTCACATACAAGGACACATATAGGCTCAAAACAAAGGGATGGAGGAAGATTTACCAAGCAAATGGAGAGCAAAAAAAAAAAAAAAAAAAAAAAGCAGGAG